AGAATGTATTGCTGCTCCATAGTCCACTATTTTAAAGTTATATGTTGATGTTCAATTTGTTCATGTCAGATTTTAGGTTTTGTCATTTTAGACTGTAAGCCGATGGCAGGATGTATTTATTTTTATCTTGTTTTTATGATTACGTAAAGCGCCGTGTAAACTGTACGGCGCCGTATAAATAAACCTTAATAATAATAATAATATTAATAACAGTCAAGAAATCGGAAGAAGACTAGGACTTGGAAGGGCAGGAGTGAAAGAACTAGACAAGATCCTGAAGTACAAAGATATATCATTGGATACTAAAGTTAGGATTGTCCCTGCCACTGTATCTCCCATTTCTATGTCTAATTGTGTATGAGTCTGATAGGGAAGAAAGTGGATGGGAAGAAAATCTACTTATTTGAAATGTGGTCCTGGAGGAGAGTTCTGTGGATCCTATGGACTACTAAAAAGACAAATCAATGGACCTTAGAGGCATTGTCGTGTAGTGGTTTGAGTGTTGGATTATGACTAGGGTTTAAATCCTAGCTCAGCCATGTAACCCATCCTGGGCAAGTCACACTCTCTCAGCCTCAGGGGAAGCCAATGGTAACTCTCCTCTGACCAAATCTTGCTAAGAAAATCCCATGATAGGATCGCCTTAGCGTCGCCAGAAGTCGGAATTGACTTGAAGGGACGCAACGGCAACAAAGAGCAAATCCCTAGAACCCAAGACTGTTATACTTTGGATATGTCACAAAAAGACATGATCCATTGGGAAAAAAACAATAATGCTTTCAGACAATGAGGCAGAAAGCAGTAGGAAAAGAGGAAGACTGTATTCCAGATGGATGGACTCAAGGAAGATTGTATTGAGTCTGCTAGACCTGATGATACGGTGACTTGGAGATTTCTCATTCACAGGATTGCCATAAATCAAAGTTAACAATGCAACAACAATATAAGTAGAAATAGCTTTAATAGCAAATCGTGGCAATAAGAGCAGTATGTGAGGAGGGCCATAAGCTCACTATACCTGCCTTGGGGCTCCATGCAAAGTCATGGACACGGAATAAAATGGAAAAAAATAAGGTACTGCACTTAGGGCGAACAAATGAAATTCACATACAATAGCTCCTCTGTTTCTTTGGGGGGATCCATTTCGGACCTCCCCGTGAAAACGGAAACTTGCTGATAATCAAGCATCATTGGCTTGAATGGCTGCATGCACAGCCCTGTGCACATGCCATTTAATTCAATGGCGCTTGCCCCTCTGTGAATAATCAAGACCGCGGACTTCAAGTCTGCAAAAACAGAGGGGCACGATGGGGGACACCTGGCTTAACAAGAGTACATGTAAAGGGATCTAGGAACCTTAGTAGACTACAAGTTGAGCACAAGTCAACAGTGTGATGCAGCAGCTAAGAAGGCCAATGTGATTCTATGTTGCATGAATAAAAGTATAGTGTCTAGATCAAGGGAAGTACCGTAATAATGCCACTGTATACTGGTCAGGTCTGGAATACTGTCTCCAGTTCTGGGCACCACAATTCAAAAAGGATGTTGAGAAGCTGGAGTGTGTCCAGAGGAGCGTGACCAAAAAGGTGAAGGATATGGAAACCATAAAACCATACGAGGAGAGACTGAGGGAGCTGGGTATGTTTAGCCTGGAGAAGCGAAGGTTAAGAGGGG